GCCTTGACTTGCTACATGACTGCTCCGACCATCTGTTAACATTATGGCCTCTTGATCACCATTTAATTATCAGTAAACAGTTGAATGTTTTTGTTGCCATCTTAGCTAATAAGTAGGAAGGAAGAAACCATGAAATTTGGACCAATGCCAATGCTTGGGCGTTCAATTTCCTTGTTTTACTCACTATCATTCCAAAACGGTAGTTGATTGTTTAAAGTGACAAACAGTTGATAGATAACAGGATGCTATTAAATGGCAAATCTTCTCCAGTTCTGTCATGGAGGCCTACTGATTATATTCTGTAGACCTGTAGTTTAATTGTGCAGACTCATTTCATTTCGTTTACAATTATCAAAATTTCTTAAGTGTACAACCAGTAGGCCTACTCTTTTTCGGTATCTTCTTCTCCTTGTGTACAGTGCATGAAAAATGTTTGCAAAACCATTCTCCATTATTTTTGAAGTCAACTTAAGTGCTACACTTGGTTACATAAAAATGTATATATCTACGGTTGCATTACAATTGGTCACAGAGATTTATTATTTTAAATATTGCATGTTATTTTGAATCAAAATTTTCATGCATGTAAAAGTGTACAAAATTTGTCTACCCCCTCCACCCGGCATACTGCTTGTACGCTTGTGAAAATATTGATAATTGTGAACGAAGACCCCTTGAAAATCTAGGTTGAAATGGTAGAATAATTTAAGAATCAATAATATTATAAGCTTTCAGCTTCCATGAAATTAAAATCTTCCATGATTTCAGTGGGTGTTGAGATTTCGTAACTAGGACATTTTGTTAATTCAGTCACAGAAAGTTCACAGTTTGCACTTTTCATAACCCATGTTTTGCAAAATTTCCTACATTTGGTCTATGTACTCCTCCGTATTGTGCAGAAATACGGATCTGACCAATAAAAGCATGCAGATACTACAATCTTTTGAAATGTGGCCATATTGGAAGATGTTTAAAGTCTCTTAGATTGACAAAATTCCCAATACAGAAATCCTGCTGGTAATGAATACAAAGAGAGCACTTATAAATATAATAAAAATAAGAAAACTAAAACCTTATCAGAAAATATTGATTCCAGAGATTATTATTATTGGGATGTCACACAGGCAGTAGGGAAGCCGGGATAGGCCTAGAGTTAGTGCAATAATCACTGACTCGGTCGACATGTCTTCTTTAAAGACGGTGAGGAAAG